ACTCCGAAGGATTTAGATGGCGCTATCACTGGCTGTAGCCCTCATTGTCGCGAGCCGCAACGTCAGAATCCTGCCGGCAGGTCCCAAACCCGAGGGAAGAACAACAGGAGAGCAGTTTCACGAACTTAGTTCCAGGCTCAGGCTCTCTTCGTAGCAAGGCCCCGTTTATGTTTCAGGGTGGGGTATATATAGGCTCAAACCGAAACCCAAAGTGTAAACCTTTATACTCTTCAGCTGCATGGGAGCGAGGGCTGCACCGGAGCGAGAGTACCGCCCACACATTCCAGAGGGAAACAACAACAACCATTATGGGTTACATCTGCTACCAGCTGAACTCGCCCGTGGCTATGGGCGACAGCACGTCGGTGCCGGCGAGGTGACTCAAAGTTCAATCATGGCTAGGCCTGTGTCAAGGCTCACCACACCTCATGGCTGCTCTGTTGGGTTGATTTTGCTCCGTCCTTGCAGCTTTCCTCAGACAGTCCACGTCCCTGACTTCTCCAAACTTCTGGGGTCTCCACTGCACTTTTGGCTTCACTCTCACAGACTCACGCACTGCCCTCTCAGAAGCACACTGCCTGGCCTCGCAGACCTTCTTTTGAAGTCTGTGTGGAACCCTTCCTGACCCCACAAGTCACATTCCGCGTGAGCCTAAAACCAGCATCACACGGACGATGCCAAGGTCTGCTGCCAGCTGGAGCAGGAGCCAGGCTTCCTTTTGTCTTAGCAATAGGGGTAAAGTATCTGGATTGCTAATAGCTATGAACTCAATCCTGAGGGACATTCCCGGAAGAGGCTGCTCGGGGGCTTTCTTATCAAAGCAAAGTTTTTCACCTTTGCAATTTTCAGGCGGCAAAGGGTGGAGTCCTGCTGGTTCTTATGATGCCCTCAGGCCATCTCCTCTAAAAGATTAGCTTTTCTCGCTAATCTTTTCAACAACCAAGTTCTGCTCTGTTTCATATTTACAGGCCACAGCTTTACTGGAGCTTCCTTTCTGACCAAACTCAGAACATTCCCCGCTATTCTTCTGGGCTCTTTGCTCTTGATTCTCGATATAGGTCTGACTCGAAGCCCCCAATAGCAGCCACGCCACCACCTCATCTTTGGGTGGCACTGAAATTTCTCCCACCAGGTTTCGTTTGCCACAACTAACCTCAGCCTCCTGCAAAATCTGTACACGTGAGCAAAAGATGTTTAAGAGGCAGCACCTAGAGGGAGAATCCATTCTGGGATCAAGATATAACGCATGCCTTGCTGGGTTTGGGTTTCCTCGGGACCTGTCATTCTTTTCTTTTTTTCCTACCTCCCTCTTTGGAATAAGGGTATTGATCTTGTGCCTGTTCTACCGTTGTTTTAAAGTGTAGATGCTTTATTTTACATCGGAGACTCTCAGCTTGACTTTGAATTCTTTTTTTTCGCTCGTGTTTGCATTTCCTGCAGTTTACAGTCATCCTGGGGCCCCCCATCCCCTTTTTCATATTTGTTGATGTTATTTGTCACAGCTCACACTATGGCACAGAGTTTTTGCATTAATTGGGGTTATTTAGTGTATGTGGCACGTCTTTATTTTCTTATTTCGCCTTGTCCTTCTCCTCAATCCTCATCCTAGTTCCCTCGCACCGCTTCTCTACTGGAAGAGACCCGTTTTCTTGTCCCTTTCTATGCGTACTCTTTTTTGTTTGTTTGTTTGTAGCATGCCTCATTCAGAGAAGAGACATCACACAATATTTAACCTGGCCAATGTCTCCTCTCCAAACTCATTATTTCCTGTTCACTTCACATTGCATCTTCCGGGCGCACCCATGTTTCTACAAATGCCTTAAAGTTGCCTTTCTTTATAGCCAAGTAGTGTTCCGCTACATACGGACGCTACATTTTGCTTACGCAGTCATCTGTTGAGGGAGACAGGCTGCTTCCACTTCCATGATGATGGTACCAGTTTAAATTCTCACTGACAATGGAAGAGAGTTCCTTTTTGTCACAGCCATGCCAGCATTTGTTATTGTTGATTTCCTAATGATTGCCGTTCTTTCCGGAGTGAGACGAGACCTCGGGGTTGTTTCACATCACGCTTTCTCTAACGGCCAGAGACGGTGACCATTTTTTCATGTATCTGTTGACCGTTTTTATTTCTTTCCCTGTGGCGTATCTGTTCATTGCTCTTGTGCATTTCTTCTGGATCTTTCATTTTAGGTGGTTTAATATTTCTTTTTCGGCTCTTTGTATATTCTAGAAATCAGTCCCTTGTCCAAGGAGTATGCAGTGAGATTTTCCCCCATTGTGTAGATTGTGTCTTCACTCTTCTGACGGGAGGGCCTCCCTCTTGTAGGGCTGGATTTGTTCTGAGAGGCCGGGTTATTATAGAGAGAGACCACTCCTTTCACACAAGGCTGCCTGCCTGGACATCCACTTTTCCCTCTTCGTGAGTTGCATCAGCAAGCCCTCACCAGATGCTGTCTTCTAGAAGAAGCTATTAATTCAGAGTTGGAAATGCTCCAGAACCACCACATAAATAAACTCCTTACCTCAGATAGTCTATCACAACAACAGGACATAGACTAGGACAGTGCCAGGATTAAAGGGACAGTTTGGGGCCTGGGGTGTGACTCGGTAGGGAAATGCTAGCCTAACATGCTCAGAGGCCTAGAGTACAATCCCTACGCTGTGCAAATTAAGAGGGAAGGAGAGACAGTCTTCCCAGGGCAGATAAAAGCAGAAAAGGAGAAAAGACACACAGGGAAGGAAAAACAAACAAACAAAAAAGCTCAGTGCTCTATATGTCAAAACAGAAATAAAGACAAACCTCAAAATATGATGTCACTTGGCCGGGTGTGGTGGCTCACGCCTGACATCCCAGCACTCGGGAGGCTGAGGCAGGAGGATCGCTGTGAGTTCAAGACCAGCCTGGGCTACATAGTGAGTTCCAGAAAAACCAGTCAATATAGCTATTTGGTCAGAAGAGGGAGTCATTAAGCCAAGAATCTTGAGTGACACCCTAGTTTTTTTTTTTTTTTTTTTAAGAACATAAGAGGGGGGATTTAGCTCAGTGGCACCATGGCTGCCTTGTAAGTGCAAGGTCCTGAGTTCAATCCCTGGTGCCAAACGAACAAACAAAAACAGACATAAGGAAAATGGTCAGACTGAGAATGGAGCCCAGGGTACACACACCTGTGTAGCCTGCAGGACATCCTGGGTTCCATCACCAGCATGGCAACAACCAAAGCGATGTCTGCAGTAATGCTCAGTGCAGGGCTGGGTGTATGCCACATGCCTGTCATCCCAGCACTCGGGAGGCTGAGGCAGGAGGATCACTGTGAGTTCAAGACCAGCCTGGGCTACACGGTGAGTTCAAGATCAGCCTAAGTGACATAAGGAGACCCTGTCTCAGAAAGGAAAAAAAAAAAGCCAGAGAAGCAAAATTTATAACAGTCAACAAAGAAAAGTACTCATCACCACCACAAAAGAAAACACGAAAGAGATGAATATTGTAAGTCAACACACATCCCCAAACAATCATTTGAGGACCTGAAAAAGTCATCTTAATTCAGAAATTACTAAATTAGACATGGAAATGACCAGTGAAGAAAATGGGGTGGGGGTGATTTGAATCGACTTGGGAAAGAAATAGAAAAGGGCAAACTTATCCGAGGCACAGGATAATTTATAAATGCACCGACATAGTCATACCTCACCTGTCTGTGGCACGTTTAAACTTTTCCAACAGGTCATCAGGTTGGAGTTTGCTTTGACCATTTCTTGTTCTGAATATTGCAGTGTACACATTCTATATATTCCTCATTTAGCTATGCTTTTGTTTGCACAATTCTTACACGCAGTACTGTAATGTATAACAGAACGTAAAACTACAGTACTGTATAGCATGGGACAATCAGTAAAAATTAGTGCTGTGTAAACAAGGTGTGTTATAAAAAAATAAAAAAACATGGAGGGCCAGGGATTTAGCTCAGTGGCCCTGCCACTGGCCTCACAAGCGCAAGGTCCTAAATTCAATCCCCAGTACCAAAAAAAAAAGGACACTGAGGCTCTATGAACAAGAAAGATCTGCATATATTGTACATGCCTGAGTGTTTCCGCTAGTTTTAAAGATTTATGCAAGTTTTTGCACACAGTAATACTTTTCTTTCCCATTGCTCAATAGCCTTTTGTCTGTCGAGCACCACTAGGGCTTTTTTTTTTTTTTTAATTCACCTATTGGTGGACAGGTGGGTTTCCCCAATTTGGGGACATTTCTAAACGAAGTTGCTGGGGATTTTTCTTGTTTCCCGTTTGGTGACTTTGTGACTCACTGTGACTCACAGTGAGCGGAGGGAGGGCAGACTGCAGGATCAGTTTCCAGCTCTGCTCTTTCCCAGCTGTGTGACCTTGGGCCAGCCACCTCACCTGTCTGTGTTTCAAATTGCCCCCAATGGAAAATGAAGGTTGAATCATCTACCAGCGGTTGGGGTGGGTTGAGTGAATCAATATTAAAGCAACAGAAAAGTGCCTTGTATTTGCAAGCATTAAGTAAATATAAGCAGGGCTGGGGATTTAGTTCAGTGGTGCCACTACCTGCCTTGAAAGCATGAGGTCCCAGGTTCTATCCCCAGGACAAACAACAACAGCACAAAACCAAACTACTATTAAGCAAATATAAGCCACGGTGATTCATCTCTAAGGCCCAAGTCAGCAAGAGGCACCATAAATAAGGACATCAGCAAACCTGGAGGCAGAGCCTGGAGCCAGAGGGGACCGTGTTTCTGGGAATAATGGGGTGTTGTACGTCCAGGCTTGACATACCTGGAGTCAGTATAACAAAGGAGGCTAGCTTTACGAGGCACTCATCTCATCAAAGGCGTCCCACAGCTCGGCCATGAGAGGAGTGGACCAGTTCTTGAGACCCTGGAGCTCGCTTCACCTCCACCCGCTGCCTGAGATTCCTGGAACCCCAGCTGCGCTATGAGACGCTGGGTCCCTCCCTCTCACTACTTCCGGCGCTGGTACCTAGTTCCCTGTTTCTCTTCCTACGCAACCGTAGATTCAGGGAGTGAGGAGCAGGGCGTGGGTCACAGAAGTGGTCGTTCCCCCCAGCCCGGAGCACAGAGGGACAGCAGCCGCGAACATGAGAGACGCCGAGGAAGCCAGGACGCAGCCGCTGGGCCCCCAGGGTGAGGCTGGGCCGGGACTCTGGGAGTTCGGGGGTGGGGGTGTCCAGGGAGGTCAGGCGGGTCCCGGCCTGTCCAGGCCCCGATCGATGCTCTCCCCATTCAGACGAGGAAGAGCCGACATCCGGTGGCACCGGATATTTCATAAAAGGCTTTGGATTCCAACCGACTTACTGCCTCCAGAACATGGCAGGTAGACTAGGCTTAGGGGTGCGCGGGACGGGTCCTCACCAGGCCCTGTCCTGGGGAGGTGGAGAGCGGGGATCGATCGGGTCTTCTGGGTGCTAGGGAGTGGGAGGGGCGTTGTTACGCATGGTCCTGGGGAGGTGGAGACTGGAGGACAGGTGTCCTGAGAGCGAGGGAGGGGTGGGGACTTGGTCCTGGGCGCCGAGGAGTGGACGGTGCGGGCTGGACTCCACGGGCCTTTAGGAGGCGAGGGCAGAAGATCTGGGCACCTGAGTCTTGAGCGGTCGAGGCTGGATACCTGCATTTCTGAATCTCACCGATATAGAGGCTTAGGCTCTGTGGAGCCCGGGTCCTAGCGGGAAGCCCAGGAACTGGACTTCTGGGTCCTGGAGAAATCGGGACGGAACTATTAGGCCCTGAGATCCTTGAGGCTGGAAACTCGGACTCCTTGATCCCGGGCAGGTGGACACTGAGGGCGTAGAATTCAGTGCCCGAGGGAGGAGGGAGCCGTGGCCAGGAGGAAGCGACATGGGCCTGCCGGAACCTCTACCCCACCCCCTCCCACAGGGCGCCTGGGCCGGGGCTCCGTAGCCCCCGTGCTGCAGCTGCTCTCCCTCGCTCTCTTCACGGTGGTCCTGGTGGTCATCCTTGTGAAAGGTCAGGAGGGCCTTGGGGTGGGGCTATTTCGGGTCCTTCAGGCTCCTCCAGGCTCCTCTGGGGAGGAGAGGGGAGGGAGGAGGAGCAGGAAGGGCCGGGCTCCCTTACCCTAACCCTGCAGCCTCCCCTGGGGGTCGGGTGCCTCTTCACAGGGCACTAAAACAAGACCCTGACCTCTCTCAGATACAATGTCCCTGGGGCCCAGTTCAGGTCAAGGCGCACAGCAAGTATTCGATAATTGCAGGTTCTTTTTAACTCTGTACAGTCTCCAAGGTCCCCAGCTACCAGGAGCGGAGGCAGGAAAAACAAAAGATCGACAAGGAAATGAGCCAGCTAAAGACTGGAATAGGTGAGAGACTGGACTCGAGGTCCCCCAGAGGCCCACGTCACCGACCCAGTTTGAGTCTCAGCTTCCTTCTCTGTGAAACAGGTGCACGGGGTAACAGAAAAGAATAGCACTTTGTGTTCTCAAGGGGCCGGGTGTACAGTCAGCGCTCGGTCTCCCGGCCCCCGTTTGAGTGAAAACTACAGCTCCTAGCCTGGAGGAGAGGGGGCCATGACTTCGGGGTTCTCCAGGGGTAAAGGAGGGGCTCAGGAAGTGGAGAGGAAAAGGCTTCCCCTGGGGTGCGGTGGCAAGGGAGGCTCTGAGTCTCAGGGACTTGAAGGCTGCGCAGACAGGGACATGCTCATCCCAACATGGGTCCACCCCACCCTCCGACAGCCGGCCTCTGCCGCCCCTGCCCCTGGGACTGGACGCTCTTCCAAAGAAACTGCTACTTCTTCTCCCAGTCCAAGCGGAACTGGGCTGACTCTGTCATCGCCTGCCAGGATATGGGAGCCCAACTGGTGGTCATCAAAAGTGTGGAGGAGCAGGTACCCTGGAGGGACCTTTTCCTGGTCTGGGGTGTTCATGGGACCACTGATCAAGTGAGATGGTTAAGTCGGATGAGGTTTTTTGGGAGAGGGGCTGCCAACCCCGCTTGGAAAGGTAGAGTACAGCGGGTATGAATGTGGGGCTCCCAAGGGTCTTGCAGAGTGACACACACAGGACTAAACGTGGCTGCAGGCTCTGAGGGACGCCTACAGTGTAAGCGGTTCCACTTGGGGTGTGGGCGAGAGTTTAACAGCTTCCTCTTTGGGAGGGAAGAAAAAATCCTCATGTGTACGTTTTGCTGATTTCCAGATAGAAATGTTCCCACCAGGAGATATAAAGATAAACATGTATATTCCAAGTGCTTGTGATGAGAGACCAACATTGCATGGTCTGTTTGCAATTCAGGACACATCTGCCAGTCCAGTACAGATGTGGAAAGGACTCAGAACTCCTAAGTACATGAGGGAGCTCCTGGTCTAGTGCCAATAGAAGGCAGAAGGTCAGAATTTTCTGCCAAGAGGTTGGGGAGATGCTACCTGAAAAACCGGGGGCAGAGCTGCCTTCTGACTTCCCCCACTCCCCCCTCCTCCTCCAGAACTTCTTGCAGCTGAATGCTAAGAATAAAGGCCCCACCTGGATGGGACTCTCGGATCTGAAAAAAGAAGGCGTATGGCAATGGGTGGATGGTTCACATCTGTGGTTCAGGTAGATCGTGGGACAAGGGAACACTCTGTACCATGGCTTAGGGTTCTGAAACCAGGATTCAGGCACACTCTTGGTTCCTCCCCACTTCCTGGTCCCTAGTCTGCGAGATATACTGACTTGAGGGAGGTAATCTTCATATTCAAATGAGGATATACACCTACGTGAAATAAATAAGTCACACATGTGCAAATACGAATAGTTTCTCCGGTGTGAAAAACTAAAATAGTACTCAAGATCCTAACGGGATAATTAGCAATGTGAAATAGGAAGAAAAGGGCTAAAGGTGTAGGGACAGTGGGAAGGGTAGGGGAAGGGGAATAAGGGAAAGGGGAAAAACTATGAGAAAATGTAAAAATGGAATTAAAGTGTTTGTAAATGGAGAGGAGAGAAGGGGGTGAAGGGAGGGTGGGGACGAGGGGAAAAAATGAAAACCAAAACCTGTCATGTACAAGATCCCAGTAATGAATGTAACTGTACTGTCTACCTAGAATGTACCAATAAATTCAATTTTAAAAATGTAGATAGAGCAGCAAGTACCTAAAATTCTACCAGCAGAGACACAAGGGGAGCTCCCAGCCTGGCAGGTGATTGAAAATAGGAAAGGCTAATGGAAAATCTGAGGTATAGCTAGGGCAAAGTTAAGGAGAAAATTCCCACAAATGGGGAAAGACCAGGGATGGTCCGGAGGTAGAGGGTAGGCCAAACTGGACAGTGGAGCAAGAGCCTTCCGTGTGGCATCCGTGAGGACGCACCTCTGAGACACAGTAAGCAGGCTCAGGCCAGAGAGTTTTTCGTGTAAGTGGGTTCTGGAAAGTAGGTGTTGTTCCTGGTAGTCTGGTACTCGGCCCTCGGCAGCAACCCCAGAGTGCCAAAGTCCAGTAAGGGAAGTGGTTGGCGATGTGGTATCCAGGTTGGGTGTTTGTGTCTGAAAATCAAGCCCTCAGGAAGAGACCACTTCTCAAGCATGGGGACAAGGGTAAGAGGCCAAGGACAAGTGACCCTGCGTGTCCCCGGGGGCCCAAAACAAGCCGTGTCTGCCATATGCCTGCAGGATAGATGTGAAAGTGTCAAGGTTCAGAGAGCTTGAACTACAGACAGCTCGCGTGGCGGTGGGGATCTGGGACCAAAGATCACCTTCTCACGGGTCTTGCAGCTTGTCAAACAATTGGCTGCCGGGAGAGCCCAACAACGACGGAGATGAAGACTGTGCGGAGTTCAGAGGCGACGGCTGGAACGATGGCAAATGTAGAGTTGAGAAATTCTGGATCTGCAAGGAACCCGCGGCCTCCTGCTCCAGCCCTTGAAGTCCTGTCTTCCTCTTCAGCCTCTGCAGTCAGACGTCCTGCCCGGGTGGAAGAACTTGGCCCACATTCATGCAGGTTCCTCTTCCCTCTCTGCGGGCACAGAGATCTTCTTTCTTTTAATGTACTACAGGTAGATATTAATAAAGAAAATATAAAAACGGGTATATGAAAAAGTATTTTTTCATAACAAAAATAAAGAAAAATAGTCATGAATACACTGTGTATTGTGATTTTTTTTCGTCATTGTGTTTATTGGTACATTTTACGTACACAGTACAGTTACATTCATCATTGGGATCCTGTAGCTTTACATGACAGGTGTTGTTTCTAATTTTTCCCCTTGTCCCTGCCTTCTCTTTGCCCCCTCCTCCCCTCCCCATTTAAAAACACTTTATTTCCATTTCATTTTCTCATATTTTTTCTTTTCCCTTATTCCCTTTCCCCTACCCTTCCCACTTTCTCTACACCTTTAGCCCTTTTCTTCCTATTCCACATTGTCAATTATCTCATTAGTATCTTATGTACTATTACAGTTTATTCACACCAGTGAAACTATTCGGTATTTGCACGTGTGTGACTTATTTATTTCACTTAGGAGTATATCCTCAAAATGTACCCATTTTCCTATGAATGAATCTAATTTCCCATTCTTTATGGCTGAGTAGTATTCCATTTTATAGAAAAACCACATCTTCTTTATCCAGTCTCCAACTGATAGACAAATGGGCTGTTTCCAAGTTTTAGCTATTACAAACTGCACTGCTATAAACATAGGTGCGTATATATCACTGTGATATGATTATTTTCATTCTTTTGGAAAGATACCCAGCAGAGGGATGGCTGGGTCAAATGGAACCTCTAGTCCCAGCTCTTTGAGGTATCTCCATATTGACTTCCATAGTGGTGTATTGTGATCTTAAATGCTTTTTTTTTTTTTAAGACAGAGTCTCCCTTTGTAGCTCAGGCTGACCTCAAACTCACTACGTAGCTCAAGGTGGCCTCAAACTCATGGCAGTCCTCCTGCCTCAGCCTCCCAAGTGCTGGGATCACAGGCACGTGGCATTATGCCTGGCTTGATCTTAAAAGAATATATTATTCAATTGCTAATCTATCTCTCAACTCATTTCCTAATAATACTATAACTTTTTGGCATAAAACATTTTAATTATTAACCAAGCATCTCACACTTGGTATAATTTTGAACACTTCTTATTTCACAGTATCAGTTATATGTTCTGGTCCTTGTTTACCCTTTCAGCTTCTCACACCAGAGAGAGCAATATTTTCACACGTGTGTTCAATTTCTTTCACTTAAGAGTATGGTCTCAACCTAGAATAGCAAAAGCCATTATAGGCAACAGTCACATGGCACCAGGTGTAACAATTCCCAATTTGAAACTATACTACAAAGCCACTGTGATAAAAACAGCATGGTACTGGCAAAGAAATAGGCCTGAGGATCAGTGGAACAGACTGGAAGACACAAAAACAAATGCAGATGTACTCAGCTACCTCATCTTTGACAAAGGAGCTGACCATCCTCAGTGGAGGAAAGATAGCCTCTTTAATAAATGGTGTTGGAAAAACTGGATGTCAACCTGCCACAGATTAAAATTAGACCCTTATCTTTTGCCATGCACTAAATTAAAATCCAAATGGATTAAAGATCTAAATATTAAAACAGAAACATTAAACTTGCTGGAAGGTAAGTTAGGCAGAACTCTGGAAGACATTGGTATAGGAAAAGACTTTATGAACAAATCCTCAGTAGCACGGGAACTAGCAGAAAGAATCAACAACTGGGATCTCATCTTACTAAAAAGCTTCTGTACTTCAAAAGAAACCATTAGCAGAACTAAGAGACAATCTACAATGTGGGAAAAAATTTTTACCAGCTGTACCTCAGACAAAGGACTATTATCAAGGATATATAAAGAACTCAAAACAATCAGTCCCCCCAAATATAAAGACCCGATCCAAAAATGGGCATCCGAAATGAACAGACATTTCTCATACAAAGAAGTGAAAGCAGCAAGAAAATATATGAAAAAATGTTCCACATCACTGGTCATTCGAGAGATGCAGATGAAAACAACACTGAGATTCCACCTCACCCCACAAAGAATGGCTGCTATCAAGAAATCACACAATAACAAATGTTGGCGGGGTTGTGGGGAGAAAGGAACCCTCCTCCATTGTTGGTGGGAGTGCAGACTAGTGCAACCACTATGGAAATCAATATGGAGATACCTCAAAGAGCTTGGACTGGAGGTTCCATTTGACCCAGCCATCCCTCTGTTGGGTATCTTTCCAAGAGAACTAAAAGAATCATATCACAGAGAAGTATGTGCACCCATGTTTATAGCGGCACAGTTTGTAATAGCTAAATCTTGGAAACAACCTATTTGCCCATCCGTTGGAAACTGGATAAAGAAGTTGTGGTTTTTCTATAAAATGGAATATTACTCAGCCATAAAGAGCGAGAGAATAGATTCATTCATAGGAAAATGGATACATATTGAAGATATACTCCTAAGTGAAATAAATAAGTCCCACATGTGTAAATACCAAATAGTTTCCCTGGTGTGAATATTCTGCAACAATGCATAAGATTCTAATAAGATTACTGACATTTAGAAATGGGAGGAAAGGAGCTAAAGGTGTAGGGAAGGTGTGATACGTAGGGGAAGAACAAAAAGGGAAAAGAAAAAAATGTGAGAGAATGAAAAGATGAAAATAAAGTGTTTGTAGATGGGGAGGGGAGGAGGGGGTGAAGGGAGGGCAGAGGTAAGGGGAAAAAATGAGAATCAAGACTTGCCATGTAGAGGTACATGATCCCAACAATAAATGTAACTGTACTGCATCCCTAAAATATACCAATAAACTCAATAAAATTAATAATAAAAAAAGAGTATGGTCTCAAAGGGCATCCATTTACCTAGAAATGTCTCAAGTTTATCCTTCTTCATGGCTGAAGACTACTCTGGTATCTTTTTTTTTTTTTTCCTTTTTTTGAGACAGGGTCTCACTGTGTAGTTGAGACTGACCTGGATCTCACTATGTAGCCCAGGCTGGTCTCACAGCGATCCTCCTGCCTCATCCTCCCAAGTGCTGGGATTACAGGTGTGCACCACCACACCCGGCTTACTCTAGCATCTTTAAAAATACATTTTTTTTGTCCACTCACTGAGTGATGGGCGTTTGGCTTGTTTCCAAGGTTTATGTAATTTTTTTTTTTTTTTTTTTGTGCTGGGGATCGAACTCCGGTCCTTGTTTGTTTCCAAGCTTTAGCTGTTACAAACTGTGCTGCTATGCATGTGGAGCACATATATTGCTGTGGTGAATGTTTTCAACCCTTTGGGGAACATTCTAAGAAAGGGAGATAACTGGGTAAAATGGGAGAGCTCTAATCCTAATTTCTTTTAGAGATCTCCACACTGATTTCCACAATGTCTGCATACCAGGCTACCCTCCCACCAACAGCGGAGAAGGGATCTTTTTTCCCCATGGTCCCTTCCGAATTTGTTGTTCAGTGAATTCTTGATGCTAGGCATTCTTTGTGGAGTGAGATGGGATCACAGCATTGTTTTAATTTGCAGCTCTCACGTGACCGGTGATGTCGAACATTTTTTTTATGATGTATTTATTTGCTATTTCTACTTCTTCATCTGAGAAGAGTCTGTCTTTTGGATTGGGTCTTTAAATTTGGGGGTCTGATCTCTTGCAATTTTTATATATTCTAGGTAATAGTCCTTCATCTGAGGAACAATTGGCTAAAATCCCGCCCCCCCGTGGGTTGTCTTTTCACTCTGCTAGTGATATCTTTTGCTGTGCAGAAGCTTTTTAGTAAGACGAGATCCCAGTTGTTGATTCTTTACACTATTTCCCGTGCATTTGGGATCTTGTTTGTGAAATCATTGCCCATACCTATGTCTTCAAGAGTTCTGCCTGGTCTCCCTTCCAGCAGATTTTGTTTCTGTTTCAATATTTGGATCTTTGATCGTTTTGGTTTTAGTTTAGTGGATAGTGACAGACATGGGTCTAGTTTTAATCTTTGGCATGTGGAAAGCCAGTTTTTCCAGCACCACTTATTAAAGAGGCTGTCTTTCTTCCAGTGAAGGTGTTTGGCTCCTTTATCAAAGATGAGGTGGCTGAGCGAGTTTGGGGTTGTTTCTGCATCTTCTAATCTGTTCCATTGATCTTCAGGTCTGTTTTCCTTTTGCTAGTGCCACTGTGTTTTTACCATAGTAACTCTGTATTATACCTTCCAAGTCAGGGATTGTGATGCCTCCTACCTTGCCTTTGTTGCCCAGAATTGTTTTTACTATTCTAGGTCTCTTCTTGTTCCAAATGAATTTTGGCAATGTTTTCTCTAGTTCTGTAAGGTATGGTATTTTGATTGTGATTGCATTAAATTTGTATAACGATTTTGGGAATATGACAATGTTCACTATGTTGGTTCTTCTCACCCAGGTCCAAGGGATGTGTTTCCATTTCCTGATATCCCCTTTAATCTCCTTTTTCAGACTACTGTAATTTTTTTTAAGACAAGTTCTTTCTATGTAGTTCTGATTGGCCTTAAACTCAGTATATACCCCAGCCTGGCCTAAAACTCACAATGATCCTCTTGCCTCAGCCTCCCAAATGCTGGGATTACAGGCGTGAGCCACCACACCCAGCTTTGTAATTTTTTTCATTAATTTTATTGGTACTCTTTAGGGATACAGTGTAGTAACATTCATCATTGGGATCTCGCACCTTTACGTGACAGGTCTTGGTTGTCATTTTTCCACATACCCCTGCTCTCCTGTCACCCCCTCCTCCCTTCCCTCATTGACAAAGACTTTGTTTCTATTTTTTCCCTTTTTCATATTTTTTCTTTTCCCTTCTTTCCTTTCCCCTACCCCTCCCACTTCCCCTACTCCTTAGCCCTTCAGGCAATAAGACAAGCCTCCTTACTGTGAGCTGCTGTGCTGTTCAGGCAGGGACAGCCCAGGGCTTCAGAGTTGGCTCACCCAGTCTTTGCACACCCTGCTCTGTTTCCCCTCCCCTGACACTTCTCTATCCTGTCTTGCTACTTGTCCTATCGCAGGGCAGGGTGTGGGGGTGAGAGTGCCGTCGCCAGCCCAAGGCGGCTTGGT